GGGTAACAATTGTTATCAAAAGTTAGGATCTACATGTGCCAATTTAGATGTTGTCCGACTGCAAAAATCAGCAATTGTCGACAGAAATAATCACCGGTCATTTGTTTTTGGAGATGAAGTAACACATGAATTGCTATTGCAAGATTTGCCGTCGTTAATGGTTGCTCAACGTCTTAAATCTTGGAAGCATCCTCTCCGTGATGTGAAGTACAATCATGTACTGAACTCGGGATTGCTTATCTGTTTAGGTGACGATGTGTTGCAACTATTCTATGACAAGCTCTTGTGAAGAGGTAACTTTGTTCGAGCCTTATCTTTTCATGCTTTCAGCTTATTTATAATTGTGGACTACTATTATTGTGAGTTAGGATCAATGGGCTATTGCATGGGGTTATTACTATTGATTCTCCTTTTGTTTGATTCGCATTATGGGGGTGCCTGCATAAACAGTAGTGTTGATTGAGGACTGGAATGCTTGCTTTAGACACAATTCTGTAGTTCAATATTTTTTTGGTAAACTGATTTGGTCATATTAACAAGTATTGAGAAAGTAGAAGCACTTTTCAAAGATGCAGATTTCTGGCCAAAGTTTTGTAGTTTCTAGTAGTCAACTTACTGCAAGTTATGGTTATCTAATATATATGAACATGGCTCTTGATGTGTATTGCTTTTGTACTTTTCATNGTTACTATTGATTCTCCTTTTGTTTGATTCGCATTATGGGGTGCCTGCATAAACAGTAGTGTTGATTGAGGACTGGAATGCTTGCTTTAGACACTATTCTGTAGTTCAATATTTTTTTGGTAAACTGATTTGGTCATATTAACAAGTATTGAGAAAGTAGAAGCACTTTTCAAAGATGCAGATTTCTGGCCAAAGTTTTGTAGTTTCTAGTAGTCAACTTACTGCAAGTTATGGTTATCTAATATATATGAACATGGCTCTTGATGTGTATTGCTTTTGTACTTTTCATCTTTTGAGTGCATTATATTATGAAACATGTACTTGAGAAAGAAAAGATAAGAAAAGCAAAAATAAAGCTTGTAGCGACCAGTTTTAGGAATCATACACTTGAGAAGTAATGAGTATATACAGTGATTGGAAATAGTTGAATGTGGGTGAGTCTTGTCATTAGTATGGGGTTGGATGTCACAAGTAGTGTGTGATGGAACTGATATATTTGATCAAAAAGGTTAGCACTACTTTTTTTCTCACTATTGAATTGTTACAGGTGGCAATTCAATGGGAAGACTCACTTGCAGGTCTTGTATATTGGTGCATGGCAATCTTTCTCTCAGGTAAATACGTTTTCATTTTTCATCTGGTGGGTANTCATACACTTGAGAAGTAATGAGTATATACAGTGATTGGAAATAGTTGAATGTGGGTGAGTGTTGTCATTAGTATGGGGTTGGATGTCACAAGTAGTGTGTGATGGAACTGATATATTTGATCAAAAAGGTTAGCACTACTTTTTTTCTCACTATTGAATTGTTACAGGTGGCAATTCAATGGGAAGACTCACTTGCAGGTCTTGTATATTGGTGCATGGCAATCTTTCTCTCAGGTAAATACGTTTTCATTTTTCATCTGGTGGGTAGTTGAATAGAGACATCGTATATGGTAGAAGATTACTGAACTATATGTTAACAAGTTCTAGTTGAAACCTTGGAGCCACAAGTTCTAGGTTAAACCTTGGAGCCAAAGCTTTTGCAAGCTTTTCACAAGTTCTAGTTGAATTCTTTGTGGCGTGTACAAAGCTTTTGCAAGCATAGCCTCGATAGTTGTGGAGGAAAAAATGTGGGCATCGGCATCAGGATCTATTATACTGGGTACTCTCTTTTGGTCTTGGAAAGTGGGGTGCCAGGGAGGTTTTTCAAAAGGACAATGCCACTTTGAGCTGCTTCAAAAGAACCAATGCCACAGAACAGTGTTCTTGGGTTGCCATTGACCATATTTATCGTATCATAGAACAGATTATGAAAGGCTCTGTAAATTTCAAGGGATAAGCAATTTTTTTTGGGATTCAGATTCATCTACTTGTGCAGTAGTTCTTAAGATTTTTTCAACAGTAGATCCTGTGTATGTGTGTGGTTTTAGGAGTTATTTATAAAGGTGAATCTTTGAATTCAAAGTACATGATCTACTTGTAGGAAATTGAAAGTGTATTGAAGGGGATTTCACTCCATTTTTTAAAGTTGAATAGCTGATTTTGAGCAAGTTATCGAGGAGCAGTGAAGAATTATACATAAAAAAAAATGTGTAGAATTAAAAATAAATTGGCATAGAATTAGAATTTCAACCAATTNTTATACATAAAAAAAATGTGTAGAATTAAAAATAAATTGGCATAGAATTAGAATTTCAACCAATTTGTGTAACCTCTTAAACAAAAGAAATATAATAAAATTTATTGAAAATACATTTTTAACCACGAGTGAGAATATAAATAAAAAAAATTGGTTGTACAAGTGTATAAGGCTTCCTCTTGAAAAGAAGTTGAGAAGTAAGTGACAAATAGTTTTACTGCTAATTTGAAGATACTAATAAATGGGTTTGAATTTGTGGCATACTTGTGTTGATGGGTTGTCAATTAAAGTTCAATATCTTAATGAAATATGAAAAAGAAATCAAGTGTCATAATTTTTTCAATAATCTTTCAAAGTGAAACAACATGAACCACATAGCTATTTTAGGAAAGACAATCTCACGAGATTTAAAGATAAACTAGCTATAGAAAGAAAATATTGAAATAGTAAAGAAGATCAATTGGATACTAAAAACAAAATCTTAATAGATCACATATCAAATCTTACATGAATCCTTAAAATAACCAATAATAAAAAAACATGCTTAAACAATTCATATTTTGACCACAGACCAAAAAAAAAAAAAAATACAATAAGAATTGATTTTTTGAAAAATAGAGAGTGAACACGATTTTGGTTTGATATGTAGCTCAAGAAATTTTAGAAAAGTGACATAGTATTTGTTTCTCAATTATTATAAATATGTCACAACCACTTAATATTTAGCTTGATAGTCATTTGCGACACTCCCAAATGGGATTGGGCTGCTACGGGATCAAGACTCGTCAAATGGAATATTTTTTCATATTTTTATATTTTTTTTAGACTTATTTGAGAAAAAGTGTATGAATAAGTTGTTTACTTTATTAAGTTCAATTTTAATAAAATATTTTGTAATTAGGTACAAAATTTAAATGACCTTTTTATTTATTTTACTTACTTACCCTTCCTTAAATTATATATAATTCTTATTTTTTCACTCTCTTTCTTCTATTTCTGAGACTGTTACTCTCTCTATCTCCATTACTCTATCACTCTTTCTGCCCTATTTTTTTTCTATCTCTTTCTCGCCGTTACTCTTTCTATATCTCTCATATTTTTTTTTCTCTCTGTCTCTCTTATTGATAATTTATTTTATTTTCACATATATAAAGATTTAATTTGATTTTTTCCTCTCTCTCCCTTATTTTCTCTCACCCTACTCTCTCTCCTTATTCTCTTTTTTTATATCAACATTACACCAACACAATTACACAAAATCAGTTACAATTATTAATATAATCATTGAATTAGTTGAGTTTTAATATAATCATTGAATTATTTGAGTTGTGCATTATTATTTCTCTAAAAAAAGTCACAAAATAAGATCCAAATAGCATTTTTCCTTACACAAATGATTATTGGCTTTCGTCAATCGAATAGTTATTGAATTGTATGAAATTNGTATTTTTTCATATTTTTACATTTTTTTTAGACTTATTTGAGAGAAAGTGTATGAATAAGTTGTTTACTTTATTAAGTTCAATTTTAATAAAATATTTTGTAATTAGGTACAAAATTTAAATGACCTTTTTATTTATTTTACTTACTTACCCTTCCTTAAATTATATATAATTCTTATTTTTTCACTCTCTTTCTTCTATTTCTGAGACTGTTACTCTCTCTCTCTCCATTACTCTATCACTCTTTCTGCCCTATTTTCTTTCTTCCGTTACTCTTTCTATATCTCCCATATTTTTTTTTCTCTCTGTCTCTCCTATTGATAATTTATTTTATTTTCACATATATAAATATTTAATTTGATTTTTTCCTCTCTCTCCCTTATTTTCTCTCACCCTACTCTCTCTCCNTTCTATTTCTGAGACTGTTACTCTCTCTATCTCCATTACTCTATCACTCTTTCTGCCCTATTTTTTTTCTATCTCTTTCTCGCCGTTACTCTTTCTATATCTCTCATATTTTTTTTTCTCTCTGTCTCTCTTATTGATAATTTATTTTATTTTCACATATATAAAGATTTAATTTGATTTTTTCCTCTCTCTCCCTTATTTTCTCTCACCCTACTCTCTCTCCTTATTCTCTTTTTTTATATCAACATTACACCAACATAATTACACAAAATCAGTTACAATTATTAATATAATCGTTAAATTAGTTGAGTTTTAATATAATCATTGAATTATTTGAGTTTTAATATTAGATGAAACTCATAATCAATTTAATAGTTGTACATTATTATTTCTCTAAAAAAAAGTCACAAAATAAGATCCAAATAGCATTTTTCCTTACACAAATGATTATTGGCTTTCGTCAATCGAATAGTTATTGAATTGTAAGAAATTTATTTGTTTATTTATTATATTTTTATTAAATGATGAAATCAACCGTTAAGTTTATAATTTGAGAAATGTTATTTGAATTTAAAAAATGTATTTGATAATTACATTTAATTGAATTTAATGAAATATAATTATCAAATACATTTTTTAAGCCGATGCTGCATTTTCCTTTCTAAAAATTTTCGCGAAGTTCACATGCCCATCCTTTCCTCTTTTCAAAATCCTCCACTAGGCGCCATAGAGCTTCCTCCCATGCAAACCAATACCAGCTCAGTCACCTTCTTGTCCTTATATATGATGAAAGGCTTCACTTCACCAATCACCTCTCTCTCTCTCAGCAACATAACAAAAAATGAGAGTCCAAAGAAATGCTCTTATCAATCTCATTTTGATCTCGACACTCATATTCTGTGCTGAGTCTGCTCAGCCTCCGTTCTCTTGTGACTCGTCCAACCCACCTACCAAATCTTACCCATTTTGTAACTCAGCGTTACCCATCCCCCAGCGAGTCGAAGACCTCATCTCTCGCCTCACACTGGACGAAAAGATCTCCCAACTCGTTACCACAGCGCCGGAGATTCCTCGACTCGGCATTTCCGCATACCAGTGGTGGTCAGAAGCTTTGCATGGTGTTTCTAGGCATGGACATGGCATCCGGTTCAATGGGACTATTTCTTCTGCCACGATGTTTCCTCAAGTGATTCTCTCGGCTGCTTCCTTCGATGCCAATCTCTGGTATCGTATTGGCAAGGTGAGTCCATGTTTGAGTTAACTCGTACACAGCTATAATATTTGAAAACCATATTGGCTCCACTTTTTTTTTTTTTTTAACATGGCATAATCTGTATTTAAATTTCCAAAAAAGAGACATAATCTGTAGTTAATGATGGTAATAAATTTTCCGTAACAGTTAGATATGCAAAAATCTAGCAAATATCAATATCATCTTCCTTTGAATGCTCAACATGTAAAGGAGTAAGGGTAATTTACAATTTATACCCTTTAACAATGGATCAAGTTTCAATTTGATCTCTCAAATTTTTGTTAGAACAATCCAAGTACTCAAGGTTTTAGTTGAGTTTCTAAACTTTCTATTCATGACCTTCTTTATTTGGTATTTCAAATAAATCACACCATACAACACAAACTAAAATAATATTTCCAATTATCTTATAGAACTTTTTGGCCCCCAAAGAAATTTTTTGTTGTTCTTGAATGTACTGAATTTATTTTTGATCTTGAGGCAAATATTCTCGAATTGAAGAGCCATTGTCTGTTTCTTTGGTCCTAAGGAACTAGTTTTGAGTGTCTTTAGCTTGTTTATTTTCCGCTGATCATAGTCCAGAATGCTTGATTGGAGAAATGACTTTGGGTACGGAATGTGTTACATCAATTATATGGAAATAAGAAGATTTGAATTGAGGCTTCATTTCAAGTGGAATATGAGTGACCAAATTGAAACTTGACCCAAATTAAAGAGTATAAATTGTAAATTACCAAAGGAGGCTGTTATGTATCACCTATTTTTTTTCACCTTTTGTGTCACTGTTTNTCAGGTCAAAAAAAAATTGAAACTTGACCCAAATTAAAGAGTATAAATTGTAAATTACCAAAGGAGGCTGTTATGTATCACCTATTTTTTTTCACCTTTTGTGTCACTGTTTTCCTAGAAGAAAATGATTTCTCCTAGTTTCNAAATTAAAGAGTATAAATTGTAAATTACCAAAGGAGGCTGTTATGTATCACCTAATTTTTTTCACCTTTTGTGTCACTGTTTTCCTAGAAGAAAATGATTTCTCCTAGTTTCTAACTAATTTGTTTTTCATCCAATTGAGGAAGAATCACTGAGTTGGACAAAAAAGTGATGACAAGGATCCTAATTTATCATTGGGAATGTGTGCAGGCAATTGGAACAGAGGCTAGAGCAATTTACAACGAAGGGCAAGCGGGAGGGATGACATTTTGGGCACCAAATATAAATGTGTTTAGGGACCCAAGGTGGGGGAGAGGGCAGGAGACACCTGGGGAAGACCCATTGGTTGCTGGGAAGTATGCAGTGTCTTTTGTTAGAGGCTTGCAAGGGGACAGTTTTGAAGGTGGGCAGCTCAAGGATGGACAACTTCAGGCCTCTGCTTGTTGCAAGCACTTCACTGCTTATGATTTGGATAGCTGGAATGGTGTCAATCGTTATGGCTTTGATGCTCATGTAAGTCTCTAACCTTATGGTCTTTACTTAATGCTGTTGTTTTTGCTGTTCAGTTTTTTCCCCAATTAGTGTAGTGGGTCTCAGATCCAAATTCACTCCGATACTTTTTTTCTCCAATTCACTCCTTAGTAAAACACCCAGAGTGCATTAGTGATGTCTCACTTATACAATTGTTCCACTGGAATTCATGGTAAGTGGTCATGAAAAAAAATGGAGAGAAAATACATTAAAATAGATCCATCTTACCCTTCAGAAATCATCCACATGAAAATAAAAAGGATTAGACAGGTGGGAGTCCTTCGTTGAATTTTGTATTTATCTGAGCTTGGTTTGAGGATATTTTTCCAACATTGATTTTCATTTTTGTAAGTTTTATTTATGTTTGGTAAAAGAAAAAGTAGAACAAATTGATGGAACCCTAATAACATGGTTCACAGAAGCAAGAAGTTTAGGTTGCACTGTGCTTTACTTAACTGTATTTTAGGGGGTAGAGAATCACATTCTTCTGTGTACTCCCTTTGCTTGTTAATTTGGTGACTTTTAAGATATTTTTATATTTGATCTTCTATGTAGCAACATACTTTGTTAAATAATTTTTCTTGGTGTTTTTCCTTTCTTTTCAATGTTGTTGGTTTGGGTTGTTCAGGTCACGATGCAGGATTTGGCAGATACTTACCAGCCACCATTTGAGAGCTGCATAAAACAAGGGGAAGCCAGTGGGATAATGTGCGCATACAATCGTGTTAATGGGGTTCCAAACTGTGCTGATCATAATCTTTTATCCCATGTGGCTCGTGGACAATGGAGTTTTCAAGGGTAAATTTGTTCCGAATAAATGAATTCAGGTTCAAGATTACGCTATCAATACCACTGATATATTGCCTTTTCTTTTGAACAGATACATTACCTCGGACTGTGATGCAGTCTCAATCATTCATGACGTTCAAGGTTATGCTAAATTACCAGAAGACGCAGTTGCGNGTTTTCAAGGGTAAATTTGTTCCGAATAAATGAATTCAGGTTCAAGATTACGTTATCAATACCACTGATATATTGCCTTTTCTTTTGAACAGATACATTACCTCGGACTGTGATGCTGTCTCAATCATTCATGACGTTCAAGGTTATGCTAAATTACCAGAAGACGCAGTTGCGGATGTTCTTAAAGCTGGTACATTTCATCCTTCTACAAATACATCCATAGATGAATTTCTAACAAACTTCATTGATTGAACTAATAAATTTACCGTATAATTTGTCCAAAACAAATGATGTCACAGGCATGGATGTTGACTGTGGTTCTTACTTGAGGAAATATACCATATCAGCAGTTCAACAGAAAAAATTGCCAGAATCTGAGATAGACAGAGCCCTCCACAACCTTTTCTCTGTTAGAATGCGGCTAGGGCTGTTCAATGGTGACCCAAGCAAACAGCTTTTCGGTGATATCGGTCCAAGCCAGGTGTGCACCCAAGAGCACCAGGAACTAGCCCTTGAATCTGCTCGAAATGGGATTGTCCTTTTAAAGAACTCTGACAGGCTCCTCCCACTTTCAAAGACCAAAACCATGTCTATTGCTGTTATAGGCCCCAACGCCAATAGCACACAAACACTAGTTGGAAATTATGAAGGTTTTCCTTGCAAAAACGTCACAACGTTGCAAGGACTGCAGAGTTATGTAAAAAATGTATTGTATCACCCGGGTTGCAATTCAGCTGTGAACTGTACTTCTCTTGCAATCAATGAAACAATGAACCTGGCAAAAGAGGTAGATTATGTGATACTAGTAATGGGGTTGGATCAAAGTCAAGAGAGGGAGAACCATGATCGCATGGAATTGGTGCTTCCAGGGAAGCAAGAAAGTCTTGTCACGAGCATTGCTAATGCTGCAAAGAAACCTGTTGTCTTGGTGCTGCTTTGTGGAGGTCCGGTTGATATTACTTTTGCGAAAAATGACCCAAAAATTGGAAGCATCTTGTGGGGTGGTTATCCAGGCGAAGCAGGAGGGATTGCACTAGCAGAAATCATCTTTGGTGACCATAACCCGGGTAAAATTTATTAACAACATAATGCAAAACACAAGTTGTTCACACTTCACAGTTTGAAACACACTACTTAAAGAACCAACTGATTCAATACTTTGATGGTGCACTTCTTTTTGTCAATGCAGGAGGAAAGTTACCTGTCACTTGGTATCCAAAAGATTTCACCAGAGTACTAATGACAGACATGAGGATGAGGCCTGAACCTTCCTCAGGCTACCCTGGACGCACTTACAGATTTTACAATGGCAGAAAAGTTTATGAATTCGGCTATGGTCTTAGCTACTCAAACTACACTTATGAGTTCGTGTCCGTTATACAAAACAAGCTCCACCTTAATCAGTCCTCAACAACTCAGGCTGTCGAAACCTCAGATTCCAATCGTTACACATCAGTTTCAGAAATCGGGATAGAGTTCTGTAAGAAGATGAAATTCTCAGCTATTGTTGGAGTCACAAATCATGGGGAGATGGCCGGTAAGCATGCAGTATTACTATTTGTGAGGCAGCCCAAGGTTGGTGAAGGGAATCCAATGAAACAGTTGGTTGGATTCGAGAGTGTGAGATTGAGTGCAGGGGAAAGAGCTGAAATTGAATTTGTATTGAACCCTTGCAAGCACCTTAGTAAAGCTAACAAGGATGGTTTGATGGTTATTGAAGAGGGGTCTCATTTCCTCGTTGTGGGAGATAGAGAGCACCCATTTAACATTTTAGTTTGATTATTACATTGTACCTTACTACCTTCAAATGCGTAGTGTGTACTTCTTGTAATTGTAGTCCATGTTTTTGCTTCAGCTGTTGCTTCATTAGTTGACTAATAATGATATTTAAGCCTAATTTTGATAGCATAATTTGTCGACATAATCTATTACAATTATTGGATTAGTTGCGGATTTCAATAAATATTAAGGATTACTATCAATCTAATGGTTATGAATAAGTATGTTAGTAAATTAGGTAAATAAATTAAATGAATCACACACAAAAGTAAGAGCTACTCTATGCTTTCTCTCCACTAACAATTATTATCTTATGAATCTATAATAAAAATTAACACACTATGAATCGGGACTTGACTTGAATATCGAATTTTTTTTTCTATTTTAATAAAAAAAAATTACAATTTTTGTGGGTGATTTATTACTTTTATAGGTTTTTTTTAATCACTTTTATGAGTATTTTTATCAATAATTATTCTTACCACTTTTGTGGTTCAATCCTTTTAATAATAAAAAAAAAATGAAAGTAATAAAAGAAAGAAATCTCGNATGACTTGAATATCGAATTTTTTTTTTCTATTTTAATAAAAAAAATTTACAATTTTTGTGGGTGATTTATTACTTTTATAGGTTTTTTTTATCACTTTTATGAATATTTTTATCAATGTTGTAGTAATTATTCTTACCACTTTTTGTGGTTCAATCCTTTTAGTAATAAAAAAAAATGAAAGTAATAAAAGAAAGAAATCTCGGATTGAGGATATAGAAGTGCANTTGACTTGAATATCGAATTTTTTTTTCTATTTTAATAAAAAAAAATTACAATTTTTGTGGGTGATTTATTACTTTTATAGGTTTTTTTTAATCACTTTTATGAGTATTTTTATCAATAATTATTCTTACCACTTTTGTGGTTCAATCCTTTTAATAATAAAAAAAAAATGAAAGTAATAAAAGAAAGAAATCTCGGATTGAGGATATAGAAGTGCAAAAAGCATCCTCGGAAAAGAAACAAAAAATCCGACCTGCCGGATTCGAACCAGCGACCTAAGGATAGCTATCGGTTGTTTCCCACTACAGTCCTCCGCTCTACCAACTGAGCTAAGGTCGGTTCTTCAGAAAGGTTTTAAATTTGTAATATTAAAACAAAAATAGTCCAGAATCCCACATAGCCCGAGGAGAATTAAACAATTGGGCTATCCCCAACCCAATATGAATAGTGAATTTTACTCCATATATTTGAGTTTTAAGATAGTTCAAATTTGTTCCATTGGGATTAGGGTCTAAATTACTAAAATGTCCTTGTATTGAATAAAAATTGAGTTGGATGAATGGTATTAAAGTCAAAAGACAGCATTGCAATACAGAACATTTGATTTATGTCACATTATAGAGCTCACATGTTTTTTTATTCCAATCCTACAATTTCCAAACATGGGATATGATAATATTCCTATCAAAACTTATCCCAAAAATTTAATTCAATGAGTTTGGATTGGTCTACCTAATCCAATCTAATTCGAAAATAGTAAAACTTACCAACCAGCCCTTAAAGGGTTCATTTTCAATGTAAATCCTTCCTTTCTCCATCAACCCTTAACTTTTATTTTAGACCCCTCATAAAATTTGTTTTTGGATTGCTTGATGTATAAATATGATTCTTTGATCACTTGAAAAAGCAAACAAAGAGAATACCTCCCAGAGGACAAATTCCTTTTACATAGGGGCTATTTGATAGTGGTTTTAGGAGATATTGTGAAAAAAATATAAGTAAATATTATATTTAAACAAAAAATATGGATCAAATAATGTGACATTGCTATAATAAACAAATTTTAAATTTTAAATGCACAAAAGTGAGACCAACATTCTTTTTTAGGTCAAATACACACAAAATCCACATATCACACAACTCAAACACACCAGAAAAGGACCTATAAGTCCACGCCATCCAGGCAATTGCGGACTAGAGGAAAGTGAGACCAACATTACCGTTATGATAATACCACACCATTTAATACATACTTTTAGTTCTCTTTTTTGTCAGCCTAGCGTTACTAGGAAAATATTCAACAAGCAATTTGGTGGGGCAAGTGTGGTGTCTATGAACAGTTTTTTTTTTTTTTTTTTTAACTATTCTCAACTCCGGAATCTAATCAAGGCATCAAATTATGCCTCAAGAAGATGCCTAGATTATAATAGTCCTCTATATTTTTTGGGGTACTAAAATATAACTTTTTTGATATTAAAAAAAAAAAAAAGAATTACACTTAGACTCTTTGAGATTTGTCACTTAATTACTTAGACTCTTTTATATTTGAAATATTACACACAGACTTATTAAGGTTTGTACGCGCGTAACACTTAGACTCTTGTTGTCAATGTCCGTTAATATATACATTAGTAAATTACACTCAAACCCTTTGAAGTATGTCGACGTATAATATTTAGATCTGTTAAGTTTAAAATGTTATACTTAGACCAAAAATTAATTCAATTAAAGATAAAATATCAAATATTTTAAATTTTACAAATCAAAATTCATGTTCTATTGTATTATTTATTGAAATAAAATCAAAAATAAAAATAAAAAATTTTTTCTTAAAAAACGTAATTAGTATATAATTATACTATATATTAGATTAAAACTAAAAAATAGAACAACTGGTCTAATTCTTTTATAATAGAACATGAATGAAAAAATTACATTTAGCCCACCTAAACTTTGTTACTAAAATACATAGACCCCCTCAGATATGACATATTACACTGACACCCCTCAAGGTAAGTATGTATCACATAAATCCTACCGTTAACTGTCAAAATTTGATGATGTCGCCATATTTTAAAATTTTAATTCCTAAAATACTCTTATAGAATTAATTAGAAATAATCCATCTGTCCTTCTCTTTGTTTCTCTTTCTCACATCCAGGCACGCTGCCACCACCACCACAACACACACAGAGATCAATTGCAATGGCACAACCACACAAAACCCCAAAATCACAACTCAACTGTGTGCGGTTGAGTGTGTGAGAAGATCACGAAAGAGATGAGGCATATGAGAGGAAGAAGATGGGAAGGGGTGGGTTTCATCGAGTGTTGGCAATGAGTTAGGGTTAGGGTAGGCACTTGGGGGCGTTGGGGTGGGTGATTGGGGGATGGTGGGTTGAATCACTGGTGGAGTTAATAGCGTGGTTGAAGGTAAGTGGGTGGGGATGGTGGTCAGCTGGAGTTGGGACAAGCAACGAGGTGGGTTTTCATTTGGTGTTGGCAGCGAGGTAGGGTTGGGGTACGCACTTGGGGACGTTGGGGTGAGGGGATGGTGGGTTGCGTCACTGGTGGAGTTCATAGTATGGTCGGAGGCAGGTGGGTGTGCATGGTGGTGAGTCGGAGTTGGGACAATGGCTTTGAGGAAGATGAAGTGGTGGGGTTATTTATGTGTTTGAGGTTGTTTGGATATGGATTGTGACAATTTTACGGTTGGAATAAGTTGTCCAAGGTTAAGTTTATTTGGGTTATTGGAAAGGGTTAATTAGTCTTTTTAGTTTTTCTGTTTGCGCGGTTTGCAAACCGTTGTTGTGAGGGGGAGTTAGTGTAAATTATCATACCTGAGGGGATCTGAGTGTATTAGTGACAAATCTCAGGGAGTCTAAATGTAATTTATCCAACATGAATTTTATAACCAAAATTCATGTTCTATTATGTCATTTATTAAAATAAAATCAAAAATAAAAATTTAATTTTTTCTTAAAAATCATAATTAATATATTAGAATAAAACTAAAAACATAAACAAATAGTCAAATTATAATGGACACAATATCTTTATTTGGGGTAATTTTATAGTTTTATTTGGTAGTTTAAACAACTAAATTAAATTTCAATAGATAGTATAATTATATACTAATTATAATGTTTTAAGAAACAATAAGATTTTTATTTTAATTTTATTTCAATGAATTTCATAATAGAACAAAAATTTTAGTTATAAAATTTAAAATATTTGATATTTTTTTTTTTTGAAATATAATTTATTAACAAATATTAATAACGGACATCGTCAACATGAGTCATTGCATTAAATATCCAACGAAATCTCTCTTTCTCTCTCCTAGATTCATCATTGCATTAAATATTGAGAAATATTATTTAGACAAAAAATATTGACATATTGTATTTGACTCATTCCATTACGATCATTGAATCGATACTGAATTATAATAAATGTTAGGACTCGTAGTTAGAACAGTGATAGTAATTTTAAGAGTCAACAAATATTATCAATTTTTTTTATGGAAATAACATTACTCTTAAATATTTACTGGATGAGAAATGTATTTCCAACTTGAGAATTTTTTATTTTTTTTTGGTGAGGCCAACTTGAGAATTAAAAACACACATAGTGAATGTCACCACCATGGACCCCATCCATGGTGGTGATATTCCAAAAAATGTTTTGTTCCTAAAACATATACCATTTTTCTACAACACGGAAATGTTAACGAATATATGCTGAAATTGGAATTATAATTGGTATACAAATTTAATACAATACGAAATTAGAGGGTTTGAGTTTTCGTTTCACAAATAAATAGATTTATTGATTAATAAACGAATCGGTATGGATTAAATTAAGTACAAAATATATATAACACGATTCATTTATTTATATACTAAATATACAAAATTTATAAACTATACAAATTTGATATAATACCATCTGTTAAACATGAATTAATAAAGGGTTAATCACAAATTACATTTTGAAAGATCTCTCAAATTTTAATTTACACATTTAAAGATAAAAAATCTTACACTAAAATTAAATGGATAAATTACACATAGCCCCCTCATATTTATTACTTAATCACCTGAAATCTTTTAACTTTTGAAATATTATACCTATACACCTCGAGAATTTAAATATAACTAAAAATGTTCTCTTAATTGGGCATTCAAATTATTTTTTTTAAGTGATATATTGCATTGGATATAAA